ATTATTTATATTATCATCATCATTTCATTATAATCATCATTTTCATTATTTTTAAACTATTATTATGAAATTATTTCATTATTATTATTACTAAATGCTCTCTTTTGTTAAGGGCCTGATTACTAAAAATAAATAAAAACCCCAGTGATTAGGATGCATTCGCTTATTTGTTGTATCGAAAGCCATGTCACTGAAAACGATAATACTTGTATCGTCCAGTATAGTTACACAGTGGCCCTTTAACATTTTGTTGGTCTTCTAAATGATTCAAATTATGTTGAATAAAGCACAGAAACATCTACATATTATGCCCCCCCCTCCCAACTCCCTTGAAAAAAATCCCAATGGGGCCTGTTTCTTGGCGTAGTGACGGACAATCAAAAGAAAACAAACATTCGGAAAGAAAGCCAGAGATTCTATTGAAGATTTCAAAGTTTGTTATTCGTAAAAATATTAATGATTTACAACATGTTGCAGTAGGGGAAAATATACATTGTCATTTACTTTAAATTTAGTTTTGCATGCCACCTTTATCATAAATAAAATTTGTTCCAGCAATGTTGCATGTACAGTATGTTTTTGTGACCCAAACCAATACGTTCTCCTGGCAAGTTAGAACACAGTTTGAATCTACAAAGTAGAGGGTGTAGCTCCTCTTAGTATGTGAAGACCAGCACGTAGACATCGAATAGCAATGGATGGTGAATGACGTCACGTCTCGTCAGGCAAACTCTTCAATTTTGTGAAATCTCGTCACTTTAGGCTCACTCGCCCCTTCACTTATCCATCATCTCACTCACTCCAAAATAGCGGAGCTGACCATGAGATTGACCCCACAGGCTCCCACCCCTCTCTGCATTCTGAAGTAACCGTCCTCCCCCCATGTTTGGCCCCAGGAGTTCTTGAACTTCCAGTAGTCCAGTCCCGATTTCTTGTCATGGCCGTAGCCCACCAACAAAACACAGTGGTTGGTATTTTTAGGGGTGCATGAGTCAGGCTTCACTACCCCACCAGAATAGCCCAATAGGTCATGGGCGTCAAAGACTATAGACAGGGGTCCGTTCTTAATTAAAAAAACTTGGCAATGGCTCCCTCGTCTTTGGGCACGTACTGATAATCCTTTACCTTAATGCCGGGCACGAATTTCTCTGGCTTGATCATCGCACTGCAGATTGGGACTTGTTGCACTTGCCAGGACCGAAAGGCCAGTCAGAACGACAAACCGTAGCGTTGTAGTGCGGCGGCGCAGCGCTTTTCCCTTTCGTCAACCCGCAGCCACCTCCCGAATCGTCAGCCTTCACCAAACCTTTGACACGGGTCAAACTTCCATCTATTTATAGGTAGTTAGATCTACCGGAACATGTATTAGGCGAAGTGATGTGCAATGATAGTCGCAATAAAGAGATTGTTTTGGTCTCTCTTTACTCATCTGCACCACTCGAATTTAATTGATGTTTTTCCCTGGACTCTGCCTTTACTAAAGTCTCGTATCTAGATCTAGTTGTAATCTAGTTGCAGGTTGCAGATTTAATAAATTGCCGACAGAGAGAGAGAGAGAGAGGGAGAGAAGGGGGAGGAGTAGATCTTGCGAGTAAGGCGAGAACTTCCGGGCAAAACAAAATGGCGACCCGCGTAGTTCGGCTCGATTCGAAAAGTGAAAGAGCCATAGCATCTTTGTAGACGATCAAATTAGCTTACTTTTGTGCTATAACGTCATTTTTTTCTTTGCTTTTGTCAATTTGATCATCCACACCGATAGAAAGCATTTCGAAATTAGGAAAAACAGGTCTTGTTTCACACTGGGTGAGAATAGCCAACGCTAGCAAGTCTCAAACGGGGGGGGAGAGGTCAATCGTAGGGTTTTTCTCACCCCGGGTGAGGATAACCAGTCCACTTCCTTACTTAAATGATTAGGTGATTAAACTTGATCTCTTATTGACAATATAAAAGTCAATTTAAGCTTCATTTCGTTAGAAAAAAATGTGTTAGGTTTGCTAACTTCTTAGACTTTGTGTTAAACAACACTTTTAACAAAACGAATCCTTACAAGCCTAGGCTTGGCCTTTGTAATCTCGAAGGTTTAGAAGTAGAAGTAGAAGAGTCTACTAATAGTACTACTGGAGTCTAGAGTCTAGTCCAATTTATTTAATCTCTTGAATGTACATGTACTGGATAACAAATCTGCAACATGCCACTAGATCTAGATTACAACTCTAGATCTAGATCTAGATTCGAGATTTTAGTAAAGGCAGAGTCCAGGGAAAGACTTCAAGAAATTCTCATGGTGATGAGTAAAGAGAGACCAAAACAATCTCAATAAATAATATATCGCGACTATCACGGCACATCACGTCACCTATACATGTTCCGGTAACTACCTATAAATAGATGGAAGTTTGACCCGTGTCAAAGGTTGGTAGGCCTATGTGGCTGACGATTCGTTAAGTGGCTGCGGGTTGACGAAAGGGAAAAGCGCGGCGGCGCACACGGATAACAGCGTGGCTTGTAACCTATAAAGTAAGGATAGTCTGCGTCTGTGTTGATGCCCCCTGTCTGTTTCACGTACTGGTAGGCGGCGTTAGGCCAGCCCCCGTACAAACCACAAGTCCAATGTTTTGTCTTCTTGTCGTAGAAAGACGAACAGTCTGAAAGCTGTTCCGGGGAGTGAGACGTAGCGTTCTCCTTGGTCTTCATAAAGTACTGACCCTCCAGGTTGCCTATTGTAGCAAAGGCCCAACAAGTCCCGGCAAGTCCCTGGTTCTTCACTGACGTCACAGCTCCTGTACCGGTAACGTCAAAATGCTCAGGAGCCACAAGTTCCTCCAAATCTGTTGAAAACTCGGCAAGATGGCTCTGCCTTTCCTCAAAGTCGGGAGGCACTGTACTCGTCATCAGAATCTTCTCTCGGAAAATTGGTTGATTTTGAAAGTTGTGATTCCGGCTTGGATTTCGTTTTTTGTATTAATCATATGAACATTTTCACGGAAGTTGAGGAACCTCACTTTTTCTTCTTGGAAGGAATGATACGTTTTAGAGAAGTCGAGTTTGAATTTGTTGAACAAATCGAAGACGTTTTCCTCATCGGTGGGGTAGACGTCGTAGCTGGAGCTGGGAAAGGGGTGGAAGGGAATGTGGGTTGGAGATAAGGGAAATAAGGAAAGGAATACAGTTAAAAATACATCAGCGATAACAACTACATTAATAGTTGTCAATATTTGACGGGCTATACATTTTATGATTGGAAGGGTCAGAAAGACAAAGGATCTAAGTCCCATTTAGAGATCTTCGCATGACAACACATGTCATGGCAGTCTGCACGACACTGCGTTTGAATAAAATGGCTGGAGGGCATCAAATCAGAGATATTGCCTTTATCAAATCAGGGATATTGCCTTTACAAATTACCCAAACCCGGAAGTATATTATGATTAAGTCCAATTGATATTTTATTTTTCTCAAAACGACCACAAAGTGACCAAGACCCTTTTTTTCCCCGACCCCGTTACTTTATGCCTTTGGGGGAATTTTGAAGGTGGAAACTTCCGTCCCTTTATTCGTGCCAGTTTGGATATTTATCTCCCTTGTTTATGACCACCTCAAGAGGCGAAGAGCAAAAGCAATGGGGTTTTTTTTTCAAAATGAATGTAGATGCCCCCACCCCCACCAAAATCGACGCAATTTAAATCATTTAGGAAGCGGGCTTCGAATCTGCCTACCAGGGCCGACCTGGGCAGAGAGGTATATCACATCTTGGTAGAAAGTCCAATAATATGCTTGATGAAAATTCACCTTAAATGAAAATTAATTCAGGTCTTCTGCGTGCGACGGCGAAGCATCTAACCGCTACACCACAGACGCTAGTGGCGGTTCTCTGTAGAGTTGTGCCTTTTAGTTAGACTTTACTTTTCAACATTCAAGATGTGTGCACTATTCAAAACTATACGAAGCGTGCAGAACCATTTGCATGTAGTGCGAATTTTTTCAGATGATGTAAAATTAAAGAATATCACACGTTGGGGTAAATGCAGCAATACTTTGTACTTGATGGTTACGAGACTCAGTGGTGAATGAAACTCTTTACTGGGCATGGGCAAGCGTGTAAAAGTGGCAGGCTGGATTAAGCAGTTTGAATGTCTCATTGGTCAAACAAAAGAAAACTGGGTGAAATACCCAAGCTCTCAAAAGTGAGACTAAGATCGACAGTATAGGATAACCACCCTAGAGTATTTCATAAATGAAAATAATATTAGATCAATTGCTTCCAGTTAGGCCGTAATCTATTAATTTTAATTGTCATAGTCCAACATTGTGTTCTTGGGAAAGGCGGTTTACACGAACTTGCCATTTGGCTCGGTCCTTTTCGAGATGGACGTTAAATTCGGAGGTCTCACCTCATAAAAAACCTAATAGTGAAGTTAGGGGGTAAACATTATACCATTTCACCATCTTTTAATTTTCAAGACTGACAGTTTTGTTTTCAATAATTGTCAATTACCGCGGGACACATTCATTATTAATTACTTGGTTGACTCGGGGACTGAAATTGTTTGTCCAGCCGGATTTGGCCCCTGGCCATAATTTACCCATGCCTACTTCTTACAATAAACTTCCTTTCACGGGAATCGAACGTGTATCTTTGATGAACTTCCGGTACTAGACCGGAACAAGGAGATGAACTCCGATGCTAGACCGGAACAAGGAGAAAATACGGTCCCATTGCAGACAGGCGTTAAAATCGGAGATCCCGCTTCTTATATTACCTAATCTATAGTGGTAATCGAAATATTAAAGTATGCGCTTACAATTACCGTCATTAAACATAATTATCTTTTAAAAATGAGATTTTCAAAGAAATGTGCGCGAAGTCGACTCCAGAGAAGATATATGTCAAGAAATGTAACACTTTATTCCTCTATCTCACATGATATTTCAAGAAATGTAACACTTTATTCCTCTAGCTCACATGATATGTCAAGAAATGTAACACTTTATTCCTCTATCTCACATGGACGTCTCCAGGAAGGATATGTCAAGAGATATAACACTTTATTCCTCTATCTCACATGATATGTCAAGAAATGTAACATTTTATTCCTCTATCTCACATGGACGTCTTCATGGAGGATATATGTCAAGAGATGTAACACTTTATTCCTCTATCTCACATGATATGTCAAGAGATGTAACACTTTATTCCTCTATCTCACATGATATGTCAAGAGATGTAACCCTTTATTCCTCTATCTCACATGGACGTCTCCAAACAAAGCAAATCCTGTTGAACAAAACGAAATATATAAAGGTGCAATACTTTAAACAAAGTTCAATCTTACAAGACCATTTAGAAGAATATTCATGGACTCAATGGCAAGATGTGAGCCACAGCAGTTTAGGTGGACAATGCTCAATGTGGACACAGAACATCAAAGTATGGATTACGATGCATAATATGATAGAATGCACGAGAGCAGCAGTTAGCGACCGTAAGCAATGGCGGGTCATTACACGTCCACTTCTGAACCAGAGATGACACCTCTTGAGATTCACACAGTGGTCGACTCCAGAGAATAGCTGTGTCCAGGAGTTTAGCCCTTTGTTGCCCTCTGACTGATACGGTAGTCGGCTCCAGAGAGGAACTTTGACAACAACAAAAAAACCGTCACCCTTTATTCCTCTATCTGACAAAGAGGGTGACTTAAGTCAGCCCCTGTGCCCAGAAACTTGACTCTTAGTAGTCTTAGTAAACGGACAGCTATTATTCCACCTATAAACACAGCTAATTCTGTCATCGAGTTTTCAGTATAGAAAGCTAACCAATAGAGCTATTTCCAGTTCTTTTTCACTTATTTGCGTAAAATGAACACAAAACTGAGAAACAACGAATTATCATAGCGATGAACATACAGCTTTGTTATAGTGATGGGGTTTCGTACAAATTTGTAATGACTGTAAACAACAGAGCGATACTGTGTGCCAGTGGAACTAGTTCGCCGCATTCTAAGAATTAACAAAAACAACCTTGTTAAAGACGTTTTTCTTACCCACTGGTGGCAGCGACCAAGCAGAGGCCAGCAAAGACGATAGAGAAATTCATGGTGAAGAGAGAAGTGGCCAGCTCAAGGTTCGTCGCCCTCTGTGGGGATCTTCTCTGGGAAGTTGCTTTAAGTACCCAAGTGCAATAGCAAAAGTTCAAGTCACGCGCCTTCTGGATTTTGTTTTTAGATTGTTTTCCTTTGTTTTATTTTGGGTTGTTATATTTTTTTACTTTTCGAGATGTTACACGCATGGTTGAACCAATTCAGCACGTATCGGTCGTGATAACACGTAGATAACAAATGATGAGGGCGTCATAATATTTAGTGAAAGGGGAAGTCAGTGTGTGGATTGGCAGATGCTTTGATGCAGTTTGCTCCTTCTTTCCTTTCAATTTACATGTAATTCTTTTCTCCCCTTTTCTTCTTTGTATGATACTCTTTAGTAGCACATCTAATATTCGTTGCTTAAGTGACATAATATTTATGTTGCAAATGTCGTAAAATTCTTATTAAGTTCTACAGGTGAAGTCGCGCAGCCAGAGATCTTTAGTGAAAGACTCGTGTTGTACCCATGTTTGTGGTGAAGCAGTTAGGTGCCTCAATGTGACACGCAGGAAACTCAAATTTGATTTCTGAGTGGGAAGAATTTTCTTAAGTATCTCGCTGTCCCCCTGTGTGGACGTTCTATCTCTCTCAGTCTGGTTGGCTCTCTCAGTCTGGGTTGGCTCTCTCAGTCTGGGTTGGCTCTCTCAGTCTGGATTGGCTCACTCAGTCTGGGTTGGCTCTCTCAGTCTGGGTTGGCTCTCTCAGTCTGGGTTGGCTCTCTCAGTTTGGGTCGAAGCCCACCTCCGAAATTATTTCAATCCTGAGAATGGGGCCGCAAAAACCCGTATTGTGCAAAAAGATAACTAAGACAAAAACATAACTAATAGTTAAGTAAAGTTGTTCTCGCATCCGATCCGGACATTGGGGATTGCCTTGTTAGTGAGACAACTTCCTTGGCCTTTGGCATATTGTGGTAAGGTGGCCAGTTCCTTTCCACGCCGCCTTTACTTCCCCAACCGAAGCTCGAACCCGGTTTTCCGCTTCGGAGACGAGCGCACTAACCGCTCCGCCGCCGCTCCCTCTCAACTAATAGTATGTGTATTAAAACACTATGCGAGATTTAAAACCAATCGAAATTTAAACAATCAAAACAAAGTGAAAATACAGGTGTCTCTTGAAACTTTGAAAACCTGAATCCTTGCAATCAAACCTGTTCTCCATGTTCTTTCAGCGTTACATTTACGATGGCCCTAGTTCGAATCCCCAATGGGGAGATCTTACCGTGCGACGTTTTTTTTATAGAGTTTTTAAGATTCTACACACATTTGGCTTGGCACTGTAGGAGATGGACATTAAATGTTGAGGTCTGACCACTTAAATAACATTATAGTGTCGGAAGGAGGCGTAAATCCATACAATGCCAACGCCAAAGATAACGATAAGGAGTTCGCTTTCTGGACAAGTTGCGAGTCATCCCCACATCCACGTCACACTGGTTAAAGGATAGCACAGGTGACGTTTTCGACGTGACAGCAATCCATGCGATTGAGATACTGAACACCTTGAACACAATGTGTCAAGTCATGATACTTGTAACACCTGTCAGGGTGTCTTTCATTTTGCTGACCAGCATCTATGACAATATTGTGAATAATAATGTGTTCTTCATTTGGCTCTATCTGGCCCTCACACCGCAAGAATCACCTCATCAATAATAGAAATGTTTTGAGTTGTCGGTTGTTTTTTAAAAGAACTTACTCTTTATTATAAACGACACAAAATCCATGGCAGTGGAAACAGAATTCTAATCTG